CCGTGGTCGATTCCCCCTCCCGCGGAGCGCCGACGAAGGCTCCAAGATGGGATCTCACGGAACAGAAGGTTGCGGTGGTGGAAATAGTTTTTCGTGTTGCTCTCCGATGGTTTCAGGGTATGGGAGTATATATAGGCGAAGGAGGTAGATCGGTTGACGCTCGAGGGGACCACGAGAGTGGGGGGCGCGCTGGGCACCCTCGTGGCCGCCTTGTTTGTTGCTTGACGTCCACTCCAAGTCTCCTGGATTGTTTTTGTTCCAAAAAGATCGCTCCCGAAGGTTTCATTCCGTTTGGACTCCGTTTGATATTCTTTCCTTTGAAACACTAAATTGGCAAAAAACAGCAATTCGGGCTGGGCCTCCGGTTAGTAGGTTAGTACCAAAAATGATATTAAAGTGTAAAGTAAAGCCCATAAACATCCAAAATGGGTAATATAATAGCATGGAACAATAAAAAATTATAGATACATTGGAGACGTATCAGGGCAGCACTCGAAGACAGAAGATCTCGCTCCTGCTCCTCAGCCGCCTCGTGACGGCGGTTGGCTGCCTCGACCTCTTCCATGGCGCGAGCGCAAGCTTCTCGAGAAGCCACAAGTGAGGCCTCCGCGCGCGCTTTGGCTTCGTCTCGCTGAAGCTTCTCAAGGTTGATGGCCACCTTCAGCCGCTGCCATTCACCCTCCAAGCAGCGGTTCTCCGCTTCAAGCCTGGTGTCGACGTTGGCGAGCTCCCCGCCAAGATGGACCATCGCGCGCATCGCTTCACCAAAGAACCCGAAGCGCACCGCGCTGCGCCCGCGAGCAAGCGCTAGATCATCGCCAAGATCTTCACCGGCTCCGGAGGTCGCTCGGGAGGCGCTGGGGTTCCGCCAGTCGTCGGCTGGGGGCTTGCTGGTGGGGCCCCGCAGCTTGAAGACGAAGGCTGCCTGGAGGGCACCCCCTGCCGGCAAGGACAAGAGGAAGGATCACAAGCGCACCCTTCCCCTCACAGACATAGTCGTGGGGGGAGAGAACATGGGGCTCGGTCCCGGTGCACCCTCGCGGCATCGAGCTGGGGAAGGCCGGACTCACACCCTGCGCAGGCTCAGGGCACTGGGGTTGCACACATGCGCTGTGCCGGAGCTCTTGGTGGTGTCTGCCTCCTGAGGGTTTTTCTTCATGAAGATCCTGCAAAACCCCAGCCATGAGAAAAAGCAGTGCGCTTGGAGATAAGGAGCGAAGATACTTACTCGGCGGCGGCCACATATCTCCTTGGCTTCAGCGGCCGGCGGGTGTCGTCGTCGCGGCACGGGGACCTCTTCCTCTTCAGGGGCGACTAAAGGCACAGGCGGCGCCGACCTGGCCCCACCGGGTGATCCTCAGGAGGGGGAGCGTCCGACATGATATCTGGAGCAGAGTTCCCCAGGGCAGGGGCATCTGGCGTGGCTTCCTGGCTCACAGCTCTAGGGCCATTGGTGGGCTCCTTGTCGCCAGTAACAACTCTGGATCCATTGTCCTGGGCATCAGAGGCCCCTGCCTCCGGAGCCTGGTGTTGTGCAGGCTCTGCAGCAGCCCCTGCCGGAACCCCAGAAGCTTGAGGCTCCTGAGCCTCTAGCAAGGCTGAGCCTCCGGAGGAGTTCTCGATAGCTGACGGAGGCGCGCGTCCCCCTGCCTCCACACTTGGAACGCGCATAGCAGGGTCAATCAGGAGAGGAGCCATGAAGACTGGATTCTCACGGGGCCCCTCAATGCCCTCGGGAAGCAACCCCCACCTATCAAACAGGGGCATCTGCCCCGCGAAGGCCTCCTTGTTTGAGCACAGATAAAGAAGGCAGCCACCCCCGGGAGGTCAGCAGGCTCGGGCTCGCTGGTCAGGAGCTTGAGCACCACGCTCAAGGTATCGGCAGCAAGCGACGTCTTATGCAGCCTTATCGGATCCTCGACACCGGTGAAGTCCCACATCGGGCGAGGATGGTGCTGGAGGGGAGCAAGGCGCTGCTTCACGAATTCTTTCACCATCATTGGCGCCGTCACCCCCAGTTCCTGGAGCCCCGCCAACCTCTTCCAGACAAAAGCAAGACGCCGGTCAGTGAGCTTCACATGGCACCAGCCAAAGCTTGGCGAAGCCGGCGACCCAGGAATCGTGAGCAGGGGGCTGAATATGCGGGCGTCCATCAGAAGCCACTGCTTCCGGAATCCCTTCCAACGGGCGAGAGCTCGAAGTCGATCCCCGAGCTAGCGGTCGCAGCCATAGCCTCAAAGGTCGCGCACCTAGAGCGTTGACGTGCGTCCACTAGCCGAAGCAGGAAGAAATGTTGAAACAAGGCCACGGAGGGAGTGATGCCCACCGTGGCCTCGCAGAGGAAGGCGGAGACGGCGACAAGGATGACGGAGCGAGGGTCCAGATGGAGCAGGTGGATCTGGTAATGCGACACCACGGCATTGAAGAAAGGGGAGAAGGGAGGAATTAATCCAGAAAGAAGAGCATGG